CTATTGTTGGTGGGAATTATTGGGATTTTATTTGTCTGAAGAAGGTGACTGTGTAGTTATCGATACGTCACGCTCTAACCTTCTACTGGTTGTGTTATAAGAACTTCTATTCTATTGACATTACCAACCTGAAGAAAATGTTGGGGGGAAACACAGAAAACACGTTATCACAGGATTCTAGTTTGGTGATATGTGTTTTTAACATGATATTGATGTTTCATTTAAATTTTGTAATCTGGTAATAATTTTATCTCCTGTTTTATTAGAACCGTATACTTCTGAGTTTCTGACTGGTTTTTCTATAACTTGCCTGAGATTGTTCGAGCTATTTTGATCGTTCCAAATTTGATCCCATTTGCGTCCTATAGCTTTATTGATCAGTGAGTAGGCCTCCGTTTTGGTAACTTTGACGTCAATGTCTGTTACGTCACGAGCTAAAGATTGCCAAACTAATTTGTCTGCTTTCTCGTTACCAAGGACATATACATGGGTTGGGACGTATGGTAACTCTACAGTGATCCTCTGATTCTCTAAAAGGTTTAACGAGGATAGAATTGAATTTAGTGTGACGGACCTCGAACTGATAAAGTAACAAGTCTGTGTGGTTGTGTTCGATCAATTAGCCGTAATAGCCTATAGCTATCAACTCACTGGAGTAAACAGATTAATTGTCTGAAATCCTGACTAATATGTTTGTGTTGTCAACAGAGGAAAAACTCATAAACCTCCTCTATTATTTCTTGGGTTTTTTAACTGTTATATCTATCATCACGGACTGTCATGGATACTTCTCTGGCCTCTGTTGGATTTAGCTTTTTGTTGGTTGTGTGGAATTTCATTATTAATTTCCGGTTTAGGTAAAAGCATGGCTTAATCAGAATGTTTGATTGTTCATGTATTTTTTAATTTTTCCAGCTTGATTTTTTGTAATAAATAAACCACCTGATGATCGTACGCTGGCTGCTGGTGTAATTTTACTTTATCCTATGCACAGTTTTCCCAGCATCTTTTAACTAGTTTACTGGGAAGAAAAGTTAGTTCTAAAGTTTCTGTCCTAACCCAATATTTTAGAATTAGTTTCTCTCGTCGAAGTTTTAATGATAATTCGTCCGAATTTGCTAGTAAACTAACTGGCGGTGTGTTTTAATAGCTCCTAGTGCTATTCTTAAAGCTCTGTGCTGTTTTACGTCTAGCACCCTGAGTGCATTATTGGAAGTCGAATGGTATACTTGGCAACCATAGTCTATTTTTGATCTGATAAGAACTCTATATATGTTTAATAATGCAATTTTGTTGGAGACCAGATTGTTGCCGGAAACAAACGTGAGTGTATTTATAGGTCTATTACACCTTTCTGTTACTTATTTTACATGTTGGTTCCATGTTAGTTTTGGGTCCAAAATCATGACAGGATATTTAACTTTATTAACGTACTCAATGTGCTTGTCGCCTAGATATGTTTTTTTTCAAGTTTTCTCGAAAAATACATAGCAACAGTTTTTTTTCTTTTGCAATTTTGAAGCTCCTTTCAACGGCCCAATCTTGAATTAAGTTTTCTTAATGGTCCTGGCATTATTTGTGATAACTTTATTAGTACTCCAAATACTGATATCATCTGCTGGTGTGTGGAAAAAATTAAGATGTTGATTAAGTTTATTTGTAAAGATATAAAACAAAGCAGGGGAGATAACACTACCCTGAGGGACTATCGCGCATTTCCCATAATTTTTTTTCCTTAGGGATTATATAAATATCAAATATTGCTGTGACTCTATCTTCACTGTCCGCGCCAATCATTTCAATTTTCTGTGTGATTTCTTTAATTTCGATGTTTTTATAGGTGTTGCTATTTTTTATATGAATTTCCAGCCCTGTTTGAAAACTGCCAGATTTGATTGGTCCATCCAAACCTTTATTTTTTGGTAGACCTAATTTTGTCTAGCTCTTGATTTCTGAATTTTGATTATATCAATGTCAGAGCTCTCTGTTAAGAATTATTTTAATTCAAGAATTATTTTAATTGACCAAGCTGTCTGTTGTGCCATTATCAATTTCTATTTAAAAGAAAAAAATGATTATGTTGCGGTTTGTTTGTTTGTACCTTTGTGGTGCTCCTTAAAAAGTATGTTGATTTGGTGTCTGTTGTTTTGTTTTGTTTTTGGCCAAAGGCATTCTAGCTAAGAATAGACAGATATTGAGAACAAGGATTTTCCTTGAAATGAGCCAAAGGTCAAAATCTGGGTCATTTCAACCAAAACACTTTGACATCCTAGGATTGTAAATAATAGGATGCATGAAATAATATGCTATACATTCTCTTCAGAAAATGTATACTATTAATACATTACTGAAACAAGATGGATGTCATGGATGCCATCTTGAAAACCAGATCATGTTGAATATCACTCAGAACAAACTAAATGAAGGTACCAAGTAAGCGTGATGCCCCAGGGTTATGCTCACTATCGCTTTCTGCACCTTGGAACATTTCAAGGCAAAATTGAAGGTTCAATCTCTGACACCTTGTGGATAAGACAAGATTAGTTTGATCCTTTGATGTATAGCAAACAAATCTTGAGGTCACCTAAAGGTATGTTGTACTGGGAACCTACTTTAGATAATCAAATGACTTTGCTTGTGCCTTTAATTTTGCCAGGATGTGTTCCAAGTGTGCAGAGAGCTAAAGTGATCATAACTCTTTGAGTGTGAGGATTTGTAACAAGGGTAACACAACGTTCAAATTTGAACTTTTCCTCTCTGATGGTTCTTGAGCAGTAGTGGTATCAACCCTTCCCAGCCAAAATCAGAGATATAGCCTCTGGTGGGCATCTCCAAAATTAAATCTATAAGAAACCCAGTCAGGACCAATTAGCGACCAAGGGACATATGTACAATAATATATGTATAGTTGGGAGAAGATCTGGACTATTTCAGAATAGTACCGAGATAACAAGAGTTGGTTATGGATGACAGATCACAGGAAAAAAGTGGTTTTCATCACCCCTCTTTGTGTGACCAGGGGCGTTGATATCATATCATCCATATTGAACAGAGTTTGTCATTCTAAGAATATGTCATAAAATATTTATGATCACCACAGGGTTTGAGATATTGTAAGTCTTTTGCTGACAAATAGATTTTACTCCAGGGTTTCCTACCAGAGATATTCCAGTTAATAGTGACACCAGCAATCATTCACATCAACATGTACATACAGCTACAGATACAAATTGTATCATGGGCCATCAGTCACATCAACATGTACATACAGATACAAATTGTATCACGGGCCATCAGTCACATCAACATGTACATACAGATACAAATTGTATCATGGGCCATCAGTCACATCAACATGTACATACAGATACAGATACAAATTGTATCATGGGCCATCAGTCACATCAACATGTACATACAGATACAAATTGTATCATGGGCCATCAGTCACATTAATATGTACATACAGATACAAATTGTATCATGGGCCATCAGTCACATCAACATGTACATACAGATACAAATTGTATCATGGGTCATCAGTCACATCAACATGTACATACAGATACAAATTGTATCATGGGCCATCAGTCACATCAACATGTACATACAGATACAGATACAAATTGTATCATGGGCCATCAGTCACATCAACATGTACATACAGATACAAATTGTATCATGGGCCATCAGTCACATTAATATGTACATACAGATACAAATTGTATCACGGGCCATCAGTCACATCAACATGTACATACAGATACAAATTGTATCACGGGCCATCAGTCACATCAACATGTACATACAGCTACAGATACAAATTTATCATGGGCCATCAGTCACATCAACATGTACATACAGATACAGATACAAATTGTATCTTGGGCCATCAGTCACATCAACATGTACATACAGCTACAGATACAAATTGTAAAATGGGCCAACAGTCACATCAACATGTACATACAGATACAAATTGTATCATGGGCCATCAGTCACATCAACATGTACATACAGATACAAATTGTATCATGGGTCATCAGTCACATCAACATGTACATACAGATACAAATTGTATCATGGGCCATTAGTCACATCAACATGTACATACAGATACAAATTGTATCATGGGCCATCAGTCACATTAATATGTACATACAGATACAAATTGTATCATGGGCCATCAGTCACATCAACATGTACATACAGATACAAATTGTATCATGGGTCATCAGTCACATCAACATGTACATACAGATACAAATTGTATCACGGGCCATCAGTCACATCAACATGTACATACAGATACAGATACAAATTGTATCATGGGCCATCAGTCACATCAACATGTACATACAGATACAAATTGTATCATGGGCCATCAGTCACATTAATATGTACATACAGATACAAATTGTATCACGGGCCATCAGTCACATCAACATGTACATACAGCTACAGATACAAATTTATCATGGGCCATCAGTCACATCAACATGTACATACAGATACAGATACAAATTGTATCTTGGGCCATCAGTCACATCAACATGTACATACAGCTACAGATACAAATTGTATCATGGGCCATCAGTCACATCAACATGTACATACAGCTACAGATACAAATTTATCATGGGCCATCAGTCACATCAACATGTACATACAGATACAGATACAAATTGTATCTTGGGCCATCAGTCACATCAACATGTACATACAGCTACAGATACAAATTGTATCATGGGCCATCAGTCACATCAACATGTACATACAGATACAGATACAAATTGTATCTTGGGCCATCAGTCACATCAACATGTACATACAGCTACAGATACAAATTGTATCATGGGCCATCAGTCACATCAACATGTACATACAGCTACAAATTGTACCATGGGCCATCAGTCACATCAACATGTACATATAGATACAGATACAAATTGAATATTTATTTAATGACTAGACAAAATAATTTCACAACAGACATCATGTAAAGGTAAAGATTTTTTTATTTCATAGAATTCAAAAGTTCAACAATTCCAAAACAGAATTTAAAATATGTAGGAAAATAACAGGTTTAAATAAGCATAGATAATGATTGTAGATACACCTGATGGAGCAATCCAACAACGATGATAGGTGTTACTTCTGGCTAAAGGTTACGGAAAGCTTATTTACTATCTGATAAATTGTTCAGGCTTATTGCTAAGTAAACATAGCAATAAGCAACAAAATAAGGAATCTACAAAGAAAGGTGATAATGACTGGGTAAATTATCCTGTTAATAGCCAGGGTCATTATCAGGGGGAGTCTCCTTGTGGGCTAGTGGGGTACCTCAATGAACAACATATGGAAGGCCAGGTTTCCATATGCTGTCCAAGGCAATAACTAAGTGAAGTATTTTTACACATGGACACAATCATGTTGGAATAGACTGGTATATTTCTCAGCTTCCTCAGAAGCACTAACAGCCATGTGCAAGAAGCACCAAACAAAGCACCTCAAGATAGGACAATTTTAGCTCTAATCGACAGAATTATTGGGACTTCCTAAGTGAAGGAACTAAGGACATATAGGTGAGTAACATGTACTATAGAACAATCCTGTAATAATATACATCCTTATTTAACAAAATTCTATACCCAGTTCATACTAGTCTTTACTGTGGATAGAAAATATAGCCTTTATCATACACTGTGAAATATCAATACAGAAATAATATACACAGAAAAATGAAGAAAAAAAAGACATGTCGTTTACTAATAGCTACTAATAACACAGAACACAGGAATATTGCAAATTTTCTAGAAATAGCAGTTGATACAAAATTCCATTTTATGTACATTCTAAAGTTTAACAGTGTATATTCTCTTCTGTAACTAGCATTTCACTGTGAAGTCCATCTGTCCTAAACTTTTTAGACTAATGTCTTCAACATAAAACTTTTTTTTTCAAGAATGTAGTAAAAATTGAAAATCAAAAAATGAAAATCTGACAGATGAAAGTACAACTTTTTGATCCTTTCCTCACACTGTTCAAATCTGACATCCTAAAAGTATTTTGATAACCAAGGTCAAAGGTCACTGTGCAAGGTTTCTTTTGAATGTGGATGATAAATAGAAATTTATAACTACTAATTGTTCTTATTTGAGGGATTTTTTTTTACAGACGTTTGAATTTTTTCATGAATAACAGACTGATCTATATGTACCTTATTTTTTTTTTAAATATGGAGTTTAAACAACTAGAGCTAACGAGTTATTTCCATAGAGAACAACAGTGCCACCCCTATTCTTTGATCACAGTGTGTTAACCAAGTCAGTCAGTCAGGCTCGCTTCAAAACCTACAAATATATCTCCAAGGAGAAATTATGTTATGCGAAAAAAAATACACAAGAAAGATAATGAAAAAATTTCGATAATTTCACAAAAAAGCTCCCTTAAAAATTTCTGAAATACATGAATAATTAATAAGCATGCAATGTACAAATGGGTGAGATACTTTCATTGGTCAAATTTCATCCACAAGGTCATTAAAGTCAATAAGTTCAGAGACAAAAGGTTGGAAGTTGGATACGCCTTCAGGAAAAGTCATCTTTATGAAAGATGTGTTCCATATAAGGCAATGCTGGGGACGTCCTCCACAAACCATCGACCTGTCATGCTTGAAATATGAGGTTGGTGGTTGAATTGATTCTGAAAATGACTTATAACTCCAGTGGTGAGAGATTTAAAGATGAAATCATTTTGCTGTCTAAGGAACAGCTTTTGATTCTCCCATACAGAAATGTCACAAGGAGGGTTATATCCTTTAGTAGGACCTCATTTCGTTCTTTACACATGATTTGAACGAACTCCAGTTGTCTTGGGTATGCATCAGGTGTGACTGGAATTAGAAGAAAATATACATAAATATTCATAATACCTTTTAAAATCAATCCTCTGGGACAAGTGTAAAAATATATTGAAAGTTCACAAAGATTTTTAATATATTCCAACCTTTGATATCGAAATTATTTTTTTCACAAAATAATCATTCCATGTACACTCAAATTTCATTCTTTTCCTAATAAAATCATTGATACCAAAATCATGGATTGAAAATTCATATCAAGGCTTATATAGTGTCTTTTGATCAAAGCCAACATCGAGTTTGATATGATATTAATTTCAGAGACACATGACAATTTGATGATGAAGGTTGACACGGCTATCTGAAGAAGGGAGATAAATGGTCTTTGTTACAAATCTGATAGCTGAGTACAATTAATGACTGAAAGTGAGGCCATCATGAGAATGCATCTACGTGGAATTAGAATAAATTATTTACCGGGTAACATCAGCGGAAGATAATGAATGATCAAGTTAGTACCTTTGTAGATGTGTAGGAAATAGATTGAGATGATCTGACATAAAGTAGAAAAATTACAGGAATGAAAACTTATGGAATGTAATTAAGAATCAAAGAAGATCAGAAGAAAATTTATAACCCCAATCATTAATCATAGATGTAACATTTCTTTTTTTTTTTTTTTTACTTTTTACAATTTCCTTTCATTTTCTTACATTGAAATGCACTTTCAAAATCAATAAGCTGTTTTATTACTATTAGAACATGCACAAGATCAGCTGTAATTGTCAATGTAGCACTAGGCAGAAATTGTGTTAGCATAATTCCTGAATAATCTTCAACTCTAAATTTGCTGCATAGCATCAAGGGACAATTTAGGCAGAGTTTAAAATCATTATTTAGAAAACTTTTATCAAATTATATGTATTAAGGATGAAAAATTCCTGTACATATAATGACTTTTTTTTTTAAAGAATATTTACAAAACAATTTAGAATCACTGCATATTCTTAAATGTGTACATTATTTGTGTATCAGAATTCAGCTGTATATAACAAAGTTCAAATTTTGGCCTGTAGCTAAAGCATGACTATTGAACCCACTGCCCCAATAAACAGGATTGTAAGACTACAATATCTAAATCTAAATCCCTTTCTAATCTTATTTTCTTTACCACCATTTGGAAACAGTTTGTTTTGGCCGTTACATTGGGTTATCTGTCTACTAAGCAGACTTAGACAATTAACCAAACACAGTTCTGTGTCTGATGTTTAGTTTGAAATGAGAGGTGAGGTCTAGTTAGCATGTTATTAGTATAATGTGACTGGGAAATGTACACTGTCACTATTTCCTGTGTCCTGAGGTATGATATGACATTTCAGTGTGATGGCACTTTACAGGTGTCTGTTAGTTTCCCCATCATATGTGGACATCACCTTCAAATAACCTTGCATTTCAAGGACACCCCTGCCCTCCTCCTCTTTACAAAAATATAATAAATCTCATTGTTTGTAATTGGATTTGATAAAGCAATAGAATCTTTATTTGGAACGAAAACTGCATCATTCAGAAAAAAATTGATGGAAATGTAAACTTGTTGTTTGTTTCTTGCTTTGAATAATGATGAATTAGAGATGTCATTATGATAAAATATTGCTGATGAACATTATATAAGAAGTACCTTTGAGTTGAAGTCGAAACCGGGCTTATTACAAGGTATTCAATTGTGATTTTATCAAATAGCAATAGACATGGATGGGCTTATTATCAGACTTGGGCTTATTAATGAATCAAAATGGAAATAATGACATGCAACTGTTATTGTTCAGCTAAATATATAACTTCTTTATGTAGAAAAGACCATTACTTATACATGTACATACATATTGTATGTATGTAAGTATAAGTAAGATATAAATATACATAAAAATGTTTATCAACAATTTTGTTTACATTTCTTTTCATCATATATTTATGCAAACAAAATCATTCACCAATATCTGGAAGATATGAATTACCCTGCTCCATGCATTATGTGACATTTGACCCCTAATTTGATTTCAATCATTCGAAAAACTGATCAAGTAAATCAGTCCATTCTAAGCTACCTGGAAGGTAATATGTCTTATTTTTTAAGAAATTCTGCATCAAGTCTCTCTGATCTTTTCAATAAACTGGATAATATTCATTCATCTCAAATAATGACTCAGCACAAACATGATGAAGACATAGATGCTGTTTTGGATGACTTTGAACAAAAGCATTATAGGACTTTTGATAAATATCAACTTTCTGCAATTATGGAGAATAGTGACAAAGATGATTACAAAGAAAATTTCAACTCCAGTAAACAAGGAGACAATTAAAAGATTACTAGTACAAGACATAGAAAAAAAATGATTGGTCAGAAAACAGACCAATCATATCGGAGTTACAAAAAAAAAAAAAAAGGACATAGACAAGTTTAATTTTTTCAAAACTTTGACAAGGCTATTTTTTTTTTTAAATTGCAAGGTATTTACCAATTTTGAGAAATGATATGAAGACCGATTATCCATACAATTCGACATATAAAATTTGACTAACAGGTTAATTAAGTTTCAATATTTGGACACTGCACTCAGAATCTAAATAGATGCTCTAGTTTGATCACTTTGATATCAGGTACATATCATGTGCAAGTTTCATCCATCTGATTGTTTATATAAAGCATGCACTATATAATTATCACTGAATTATAAAATTCCCACTTGATGACAACACTAGCTGATGATCAATACATTCCACTGAATTTAATCCCTCCACCAATTAGGTACTCCAAAGAGAGGGGTGGAGTTTCGACTATACTTTATGGTATAGCTAAAATACTTTCTAAGGAAAAATGGCATGTCTATGCAACAAATATTCATCTTTAAATTCCCCCGAGAACTTTTTTTCAAGATTAATGCACATTTTGCAAATGAATACATGTTCTTATATACAGCTGTAACACAACTCTCCAACATTCTGTAGAAGAGACTTGTAGGGATGACAGTATCAATTAATATGTAAACAGTTTTAACATTGAATGACGTAAACCAACACACTTAGAGACCTAGTGACTCTGAAAACAGGTCCAGCGGAAATAACCAATGGAAAAAAAAAAAAATAAAAAAAAAAATCCCAGAGGGATCTTGGGGCCCACCATTGTTTGATCTTTATTTATTCTTTTAAAGTTGGATCTTTTCCCTTCTTTTCTCTTCTGTTTTTGCTCTTAATGACAAGACATTTTAACATTCCTTTGCAGAAATAGCGATGATAACCTTTACCTGCCAAATCCAAAATGGCCACCTGCAAGCCATTTTGTTTCTTCTGATCAATCTTAAAATCAAATGGGAATAACTAGGGACCAAGAGGAACCTATACACAAAATTTAAGAAAGATCCATCCAGTACTTCTCAAGATACAGTGATAAAAACATTCATGGGAAAAATCAAAGATGGCTGCCTGTCAGTCCAAAAATGAAACGGACACAACTAGGGATCAAGGGAAAGCTACATATGCAATTTAAAGAAGATCCATCCACTAATTCTCAAGAAATAGCGATAACAAAAGTTTACGGATGGACAGACGGATGGACGCAGGGCGATTTGAATAGCCCAAAATCTGATTGTAGGCTTAAAGAAAGACATTTGTGATTAAATATGTACATATGACTCCTTTTATTTTATAAAACACACTGAATTTATGAGAATCATTGATCTCAATTTGTGCATTACATATTTGTACTTCACAGTTTTTGAACTTAATGATTTAAAGTACACTATATTATAACTATTCTTCTTGTATGTAATATTTACAGCAGTCAACTTATTACATTTATATACATATGGATCATTTCTTGTCAGTAATAATTACCATAACTTTAGTTTGCATATCTGATACTAATCCCCTGTAGGGAGCCCCTCTCACGACTGAAAATACGTCCTTCGTTGTCAATGTTGCTGAGCTGGATGGACATTTTTCAACTTGTCTTGGTGACATTCCACTCATACAGTGCAGTGTGCACCATTATGCTTGTGATTTTGGTTCATTTTTACAGCCAGTTTACCACTTCTATTTCCATTTGTTTGATGCTGCATTGGCTGTGCATGTTTGGCCCTGATTAGACATGTGGTGGTGAGTATATGTTGCTGTTTTTGTTGTTTTTTGCTGTTTTGATATTTGTATACATGTTGGTTTTGATTTATAATTAAATCTCTGCATGTATATTCAGCGTTTTCTACCTTTCAGCAATTGAATTTAAGTATTATTATCATTTCTACTGTTGTTTGGGTCTTTGTTGTTGCAGCCTGGTATGATGGCTAGAAATGGTCTTTGCCACAGTACTGTGGATGGGTGATGTCACCTTTATAGTGAATCCAATCCCCATTCTGCATGTCCCCAGTGCTGTTCTTACTCAGAGAAGTGGCCCTGTGATCTAGGTGCCCTTACTTAGGCTGGCAGGGGTAACCCCTCCCTCTCAGTCTAGATCTGGTTCTTGGGAGGGGCAGCCTGACTCAGAGTGGCCCGCTCTGATGCTGAATCAATTGGGACCCCTTGTAACCCCTTTCAGGTCTTGCCTTCGGGTAGGATTCAAGCCCCAGTCTAAGGCAGGCCAATTTGGTTAACCCTGGGGACACACTCAATGCTTAGGTCCACATTCCTACCATCACTGGAATCCTTGGGGTTTTGTTTACCCCTCTCAGCACAGATACAGTGGTTTGTTGGTTTCCCATTCCACAACAATCTTCCCATTTGGGGGCCTTATTGGCTGGCACCACCAAGGTATACAGGGATTCTTGGAATGTCCCGTTTGCACAGTCTAAGGGACTTGGGATGACTGGATTTTATTCAGTCGTCTGATAAGGCTAAGGATGAGATGGTAGCAGAGGCTTCACTCCTCATTTCAGGCTTGTGTGCCTTGCAAGTGGAAGAGCCCTTATCTTTGGCAGATGTAAGAAGGTACCATGGGCAGGTAGAGGGGCTCCCTCCAGGGCATTTATTGGGCTCTCTTTTTCGTTTGCATTACATACAAATGAATGTGAATTAGTGGAAGATATGCATACTAAAGTTATGGTAAGTATCAACATCATGGTTTTCCAAGAAAAATCTCAGTTAAGTCTTGTTCATCCAGGCTCTCATTACAACTATATCGAGGAAATACTCTAGTTTTTTGGCTGTATATGCCAAAGAAAAAAAACCCGAAAGGACAGTTATAAATTTAATAGACCAGCATACCGGTAATTCTGAGAACCATGATCACTTTACAAAACCTACATATATTTATTTATTTGTTTTTTTGGAAGTATAGTAGTGTAAATATGTTAGTCGGGTAAAACTACCGAAGTGCTCAGTGATTGGTGTTAGGTATTGATTGGATGAAGATTTTCGACTAGACTTTGCCACCATGCAGTCATTTACAGCTAGGGTTAGAGTGGTTCAAACTCTTTGCCTTAGCAAAAGGATAACTCACTAAGGCTGTATTTAAATTTACCACCTTATGTTAAAGATTCTTCTGAAGAGCTGAAATCAGCATTTGTATAGTACTGACCATGTGAGTCAACCAGATGGAAAAGAACAGTAGACCTATAACCTGGACCATGGAGTTTGGCCAAGACTATCATAGAATAACGCTGAGTTTACATTCTCCTCGCATGTACACAGTAAATGAACAAGAGTGTAACAAAGACAATTGTATCTGAAAACAGGAAAACTACCTGATGACAAACAAAAGGTAATGAAGGTAGTGGCTGAAAGCCAGCACTATACCATGTTAGAGGGACTACCATACCTTATGGGATCAAGGAAACTACCCAAAGACATTCGAGTGAGTTGGCAATTCCATCATCACTATGGCTGGAGGTCCCAAAACACTACCATGATGGTGTGACAGTGGGAAATATACCTAGGATTTCATAGCACTTACAATGTTGTTTCATCCTTATTCTACTGGCCAAGAATGTTTATACATATTCATGAATATGTGTCCTCCAGTTTATATGTCCAAAGTGGTGTGAAAGTCTATTCCGTGTCTTTCACCAATTCTGAATATTGTGGATTAATAAATACCACTGGGAGTTCAGAACAGACTTGTGACATCTCTCCCTGGTGGAAACACACTCAAACAGTAGACTGTTTTACAGCTAAAATTAGTCCACAGTATTACAATTATTGATTCAATTTGATGTGAAATTCACATCTCAAAATATTTTCAAATAGTTTTCCTGAGACAAACGGCGCCACGATTAAATTTGTCTGTGAGCGATATGACCAGACTTTCAAGACCCTGAATGAACAAGACTCTTTTCAGCTGAAAATCAACAATCTTGTATACACAACTCTGTATGTATTTTGATGACATTCTGACACGCTGTGATATAGGAACACGAAAAGGTCATGCGACCTTCACCTGACACGACAAACCCTAACTAAAAATCATGCATGTCATGGCGGGGTTGCAGTTAGTTTTCCAGTATTCTGAGATGCCATCTATTCGACAATACATATTAGTGACAACCACACTGTATATATAAATATAAATACAGACACAAATTATTGCAATTTATTGGCAGTCATGGCTGTGAAGATTATACATACATATAGATACAATTATCACGATATCTCTATAAACAAACGGATTGTCTGATATCGGAAAATATATCTTACCGCCAAGTAAAATTTCTTCCATTTCTGAACACATAATATTAAAAGACATCATTAGAGGAATTTCATAAGTTAAATATCGGCAGAGGTACTAAAGATACAAACTGCATTTAACAGTGGATTTTGAATACAATTTCCATTAATTTTTCTACTGTGCTCAAATAAACAAAAATCAATTTATATTTAATCTATTACAATTTGTCAGTGGTTTTGAAATATCTCATCAGTTAACACCAAAAGCATTGGAAGGAACAATTCAACAATACAACTACAAACTCTCTGTACATTTATTTTGAAATGGAACATTTCTTTGTAAGTTTCCTTGATAGAAAAAAAAACAAGGGCCATCAGAGATGGGTTATGCTCCCCGAATTGGACAAAATCAAGTATGAAAAATAACAAAAGGCAATTAGAGAGTTGTGATTCTTTTGCACTGCTCTCCTTCTTGTTAAGATCTATCTAATTAAACAGTTTCATGTTGATACTTCTTAAATGATTAGTCTAATGCTACGGACAAAATTTAAGTATGAAAAATAACAAAGGGCAATAACTCCTTAATTATGCAAAAGAGAGTAATGGTTCTTGTGCACTGCACTTCTACTTGTTAAGATCTATCTACCTATGAAGTTTCATGTTGATACCTCTTGTAGTTTGAGTGTAATGCTCCAGAAAATATTTCAGTATGAAAAATAACAAAGGGCAATAAATTATATAAAAAAAGAGTGCTGGTTCTGGTGCTCTACACCACTCCCTGTTTAGATTTACGGACAAAATTATGATGGACGTACAGAGCAGCGTGTACATGTTCTTCCTTTGGGGAGCAAAACAATGAATAAATACATAAAAATCTCCTACCAAGAAGAAATTGAATAGAAATTCTGCCATTCTGGAGGTGTAGTAAAAATTGTAAACACCAGTTGGACAATACACCAAGGCATAGGATAAGCTTTACAACAATTGCAAAAAGTTGTTTCAACTGACTGGTCTGGTGAGGCAGTGGTAACACACTTGCAATTCACCTTGGCATCCAGGATTTTATTCCAGAAACATACCTGAAAAGGTCAGGGGTTACCTGCCCGACAATGTGGGTTTTCCCCCCCGAGTACTCCAGTTTTCTTCCACAATAATACCCCTCCCGAAATTACATCCGGGCCAACAAGAGTTATTGATATAAGTTGAAATAACCTGATTTGCAATTGTTTTAAAAAAAAATAAAGTTTATAGTTTCGTAATATAAGCTTTGGAAGTATTTTATTTTTTTTTTAATTTCTAATTCCTCTCCCCATTTTCTAATGAATGAATCAACCACAACCTTGAAAATTAGAAAAAAAAAATCATAATTCTGTGAAAAATTGTATATGGAGAAAATTATTGTGTGACTGAAATACAATGTAACAAAACACTGTTGAAATAACTCAGTAAGAGACACTCCCTCAACACATGCTTGGAGGTAAATTGAAAAACAAAATCTGGGATCTAGACCAGACCAATACCGGTAAAAAGAAAAGTCAATGAAAATAAACATAAGGGATAGATTCTGATTGGGAAACTGGCAAAATCTTGGTTGACATGGTTACAGCAAAGCTGTTGTAAATAATAACAATAAATAGTACTAGGCGATGAAAGCACATTTACATACCGCAGTCAACTGGAAATCAATTCACACAGACATTTAAACAACAATTGGTCATGAACACTTGTTATACGAGAGAAAAAAATTCTCCGACTGTATACAACTTAAGTAAAAAAAAAAATTCTTTAAATTCAAATATGAAGTTAAATTGTAAAGATTCTAGCAATTTTCATTCATAATATTGATAAAAAGTCGGAGAAAGGAAATTAAAAAGTCTGATACCAGTAGTGAGTACACAATAAAAGGAAGAAAAGTTTTGAATTTATCAATGGTGATACATGTATTACTTCTATAGATTAAATATTTACACAGTAATACAGAAAGAAATTGAAATCACAAGATGTCAAAAACACCGATGAAATTAAATAACACATTCATGTTCTCAACAATTTACTGGTAAGACCATAAACATATTGCATTTTTCCTGTGATGACATTAACAGAATATTTTCATAAGAAAGAGAAAAACTACTGAAAAAATTGACTGGAAATAATTGCTACTTTAGGAAATCATCTTTATTCCTTCTCGTTATACTTTTACCAAAGTTATTCAAACCAACTTTCACATCAATCATTGAAATTACAACACTGAATAAATTATCATTACATCTTTCCACAACATATAAAGTAGGTGGGGTTGGGAAAGTACCACTACAACTTTAACACTTACAAATCACCAATCTACTCACAGAACAGATATGTGGATCAGCGACAACAACAACTACTCACAACATTAGTTAGATCTAGAAACTCGTGTATTAGTTTTGTCTACATACAGAACAAGGGAGATAACCACAGTTACTAATAAGCATCACTTGTACCTCAAATAACATTTTTTGGTCTGGTATTGATTTAAGCAGGACAAAATAGCAGCAATAAAATGTCTAAAACAGTTGTAAAATTTTTAGATTTCCCATTGTAAAGTAAATAACATAGAGTACAAACATAGATTATAAAGAGAAAGGGATAATTGTGTGTCTTGGGAGCTAACCTTGTACATTTACATATCTAAGCACCTAACTGTTCCTGAAACCTTTTCAGCTGTATTAAACAGATCAATATTACAAATAAATAAATGTCCCTCATTTAAGAAAAAAAAAATCCCAAGATGACAAGGAAAAGCAATACAAGTAAATATAAGATGGAAATATTTCAATATGTCGATATACCTATTAGATAAGTAAAATTTACTTAAACCTACCCGAGATCCTCTGTGTAGCCTGTCTTTCATGATAGAAATAAATTCCTTGTGACTAAGGTGGCTGTCTCCATCAGCATCAAAAATCTGGAATACCGTATTGACCAAATGTGGACTGAGAGTGTTGCCTGTACATACATAGACAGCTCTCTGAAACTGTTCTGTAATGATCAAAACACACAACATGGTCAAATACAAAAGGACAGACACTGGTACAAAGAAAAATAGCTGTCTAACATAACTGAAACAAATATGGTTAAATATACAACTGGAGACCCCTCCTCTGTATGTGATATAATAGAAGTCTTGTCCCACATCTCTATTAGATAAAGGCATTTTCCACCTTGATTTATATGAGAGAGACACCATATATTTTTGGCCTTGATTTATAAGAGGAAGACCCCCCAATTTTTTTACCTCAATTTATATGAGGTAGACCCCCAATTTTTGGCCTCAGTTTATATGAGGGAGACCCCCAATTTTTGGCCTCAGTTTATATGAGGAAGACCCCCAATTTTTTTGGCCTCGATTTATGAGGAAGACCCCCAACTTTTTTACCTCAATTTATATGAGGGAGACCCCCAACTTTTTGCCTCAATTTATATGAGGGAGACCCCCAATTTTTGGCTTGAATTCAAATAAGGAAGTACCATCCTATTTTTGGCCTTTGTTTAAATCAGGAAGACAGTCTTTTGTTTTACCCCAATTTACATAATTAAGGTTAAACTCCTTGTTTTTGGCCTCAATTTTATTACAGACTCAAACTATTAATGTTTTTTTAATTAATCAGTATTTCAGACACTTACCTAAGTATATCAAAACAGCAGCTGAAAATATTGCTTCAGGAAAATAGGTGTATCAATGTACTAATCTGAGACTTTCAATGTGTGCAATCTACCTTAACAGGATTTCAGAAAAAATTGGTAAATTATGTATATGTTTATAAATCAATAGTGCCTCTGTTTACCTTTGGAGACTGCCTGGTCAGCAAATGTGTACATTTTCATGGCGATGGTGAAGTCGTCTAGACTGTTCAGGAACTGACAGAACTGTTTGAACTCTTCGAAAGTGATGCCCTGAAATGAGACAACTAATTCATTTACACAAAATCATAGCTGTGATGACAACTCTCTCTCAATCTTAAGAAGCACACATCTATCTTTATTCCTCCAAATGACATTAATTTGTTGTGATATTTCCAAGGAAAGGTAACTATTCAATATGTCTTTGATTCTAAAAAGTCATTACTTCACAGAAGGATTTTTTGTCATCAAGTTTGTTCAATTCAATTAGTTCAATGCCCAGGATCAAGTGTAATGTATATATAATGGCTAAACATTTTGGCCTGAATTTAAAAATTTGATTTTGTTTGGTTTATATTGCTGAATGTCTAATCATCAGCTAGGTTAATTTTAATGGCCTCTCGGTGTAAGCAAGGCGAGTGCAGGTGTTAAATGTGTTGTTGTTTGGAAGACTACAGTATGCTTGTGTAAACTTCCTATGTTACAGTGCAGAAGCTGACTTTATAGTGCTATCACACTGAATTAAATATGCTGCCAAAGGCCTAATCAGGACACCTCTTGCGGTCACATCATACTGACAACGGGTGAACTATACTACTATAATACAGAATGTTAAGCAGGGAGGTGTAAACTACCAATTTTATAGACTCTGGTTTATGTCTCAGTCAGGGGACAGAATCCAAAGTCTTACAGGGAAAACTCTCAACTAAAGGCCAAAAGTGAGACAGTGTGACAGGAGACATTAGGAAGGAGAAACATGTTCAGAACATAGAGAAAATATAAAGACCCTTTGTTTAGTTGCAACTGGAACAACAGGTACAATTCTTACGCCCTCCATGCCAGGCAGGAACTTAGAAAGAATTGGAGAAATAGACTATGTCTCTGTACCAACACATACAAGTATCAAGTGATGATTGGAAATTAGACATGGCTATCTTGATCTTAGAACTCTGAAACAAACACTTTTTCTGAGGTAATGTCAAAACAGACTTTTGTACGGATACTGAATTCTTAAAATGTTGTGGCGACAGAAATGACATTGATGTTGAAAGTCTTTAAGCCCAAGTTATCAATTTCATATTCATTTTTAAGTGAGATACACAATGAAAACTCGAAATTTTCAAAGTAAGTGTCACCTAAAAACTGCTTTATTTCAAGGTTGTATTATTGTGACATTTCATATTTAATTAATTTTCACATTTCAAAATCAAATGATAAGAGATACTGACAGATACAAAAAAATTTCACTTTACTACGGCATCTGGCAGAAAGGAAAAATCATCACATGTATTTTACCACCAACAAAAGCAAACTTTCACTTTCCATGTTTTGGGAATAGATGTCTTTAAAATAATTCCTATAAAAAGGGGTAACTGATATCTCTGTGACAGGAAAGCTATTCTTTAACTTAATATGTGAAAAGAATAAGACATACTCTAATCATATATGTCAATATTTCTGTTATTAAATACATGCCACTTCCTATACTATTAGCTTAAATCTTCCAAATTATACAAATACCAGTACAAGATTCTGTTCATCACATCACTCAAATTCGTAAGGAACTTTTCAATTCATATTCTGTAAACTGTGTCTGTGTTTTATTTTTCGCAAATTTGGCTATCAAAACATACTCGTGAAAATTAAGACAGCATTCAGAGAAAAGTCTGTTTCACAAAAGTTTAACCACTGTGTCCTGATAGAATATAAATGTTTTTGCTTTTGTATTTTTACAATTTTACAGGTACATGTTTCAATGGTATACCTGTTCAGCAGGAATACGTTCTTTGACACGTGTGATGCAAGCTTCAACGTCTGTCTTGTCGAACATGGTGTAGCGAAGAAGTATGCGTGCGAAATCCTGCTCTGAGATAGTGGCCATGCCTTTAGAGAACTCCATAAATTCCAACTCAATTACCTCTGACTGCAGATTCTCCATGAATCTGCAAATTCAAAAGAAAAACAAATACAAATTAAAAACTTCCACTGAATCTGGTCAAAATCTGATCAGTTGTACATCACTAGTAGTGATTTTTTAGTAAAAGAATTGATGGACACTGGATGTCATGAACTATTTATACATCTTATCATCTGAATAGTCAACATGTTTATAACAGCACTTTTTAGGCTTCCCTTCCTTAAGATTCCAAACAATTTTCAGCTCAATGAGACCACAAGAACTTGAAAAGAAGTTTAAAATGTGTTTTTCAAGATCAACCCCCATTGGTAAAACTTGATAAGTTTAAAGCATACAAAGTTTATGTAAGGTGGTTGGTGCATGACAATATATCTTACTGACCCTTCAGGTCAGATGGCCTAAAAACAAACTTAGCAGAAAAACACTGCCTTCAAATGTGATTTCCGAAAGAGTTGTCTCCCTTAAAAATATTTCTGAGGCTAAAGCCTGCAGTTTTTTTCTATGTCACTTTTTTTAAAAGGAATTTATATTTCTTGAATTTAAAGACAAATTTTCAAAAAGTCTATCACGTCATATTTCTTTTTCTTATTTACAGAATTCTATGCTCTAGTTGTATTTATGGAGTCAATTTTAAATATTCCTGTTTCTTGTACTTGAAAAAAAAAAAATCATATTTTAATTTTCAAATATGGGCATCTTGTGGTGCCTCTGTTAGTAACATACATATATATATAGATACATGTTTCTTTCAATTGAAATTTTGATAATATATATAAATTGATGAGTTTATCAAAAAACAATTTTTCCAGCTAACCAAAGAAATTTTGATTTCAGCTATGATAAATTGTTGAGCCACTTTTGAGAGAGTTTAATTTACCTGTGAAAATCCTCATACTTGAGTGCCTGTTTACCCTTGGGTCCAAAGAAATGGATAAGGAGAGTGGTGTCCTGTACTGGGTCAACACTCTGTTAACACAGATAATTATTGATAATATATCAGTATGTTTGAGGATTATTCATCGAAATTCTTGTTCATATTTTCATCAATTAAATACAAAACATTTGATGATTTTACATTTATCTCACTCTTACAACGAATCTAATTAAAAGTTAATTTTTATCTTTATACCAATACAAACAAGGTTTCTTTCCATTCAAACATCAGTAAGATCGTTAATGAAAAGTTTTTAGATGTAATATACATGGATCTATATACGAATTAAGAAAGGTTTTTTCCCAAATACATAAATATGTCAAACATGTCCCAAAACTACTTTTAATAAACATAAAAGAAACATTTTTTTCCTCATTGTTCTTTCCTTCATTCTTTATAAAGACATAATAAATCAGTATTAAATGTTACACAAATGATGTCTTTTAACTGAATACTTTGAAAATGATATATTAGGAACCATCAACAAAATTCTAGAAAATTCACACACTGGTGCCACTTAGCACCAAAATCCCCTTTCTGTAATTTAAACAAAGATTCAAAAACATCAAAACCTGATAAACAGGTGGAAGTTAAAGGTTAAAGATTACTTTTAATTGGAAAATTCTTTAAACTTAAAGTTTTATACCATTCACAGTTCACTGAAATTCCTGATTTTTTATTTTCCGTAGATAATCATAAAATGGTGTTAGACACGGTGCCTAATTGAAATATCAATATGAGGTACACATACATATGTATCTTACATGATGAGATTTTCATTTGATGAAATTTTTTTTTTCACTGCATTGTTTTTTTGCTCTCTGTATCTTACTTAATTGTAACCATAGATACAATACATCAGTAACATTCACGGTTCAGTGAACTATCACCAGTAGATTACATGTTTCAGCATAATATTCTTTAAATCAACCCCAATTTCTACATAGCTATAGACTAGTAAAATCAAATTAAGAAAAAATAAGTTAATTTGCATTATAGTTTTTATTACTGTTTATTTACTACTGAACTTATGATGCTAAATTATGTTATTATGATACGAACAGTTAAGACATGGTTTAATGTTATTTAAGCCTTCAACAATACGTCTATGGTAATGAGGTAGTAACAGGAAACAAGAATACTACTGAGTCTGAGATATTAATAAAAATAAATATTCATTGTTAAATTATTATTGACATGAGACAGAGTCTATCAGAATTCAAGTTTGTTGGTTTCATAAAACGGTAAAACAACCAATAAATTTTGTTTGAAATTTTCTGAATAAACAGATCTTCATACAACAAAATTTAGGACTTTTTTTGTTTTTTCCTCTTTTTTTTTTCTCCTTTTTCTTCTTCTTTATTAAATTCTGTCCTAAATATAAATATCTCCACAGTAAACATATTTGAATGTTGCACACAACAAATTCCATTATTGTTGTCTTCATTGTTTTTGTGCTGAACTGGCCTGCCTTTCACTATATTTACATATTACTTTACCAATGAAATTAATGAAACGTACAATATATATCTAAACAAAGACACTAAAATTTCTAATTTTCTCCATGATATATTGAGCTGAGTATATTGTCATTCCATGCTTTAGAAGTTTCCAATAAATCATACATGTTTTTCACCCATTTCAAGTTTATAGCAATTCTCCTGATTGCCACACCACAAAACGGCCTCCAGATGGTAAAACATTTATATCGCTTTCAATCTTTTTAAAAATCTTTTTACAGGTATATCATTACTTTAGGAAGACACTGATTGTCTATTTTTAATAATAGGATAATTTCTTTGCTGATTCCCATATTTTAGCTCATGCAGCAGTTGTTGTTTATATGCACGCTATATACATCTATAACCTAGCCCCAGCCACAGCGACACATTCTATAATTATTTAATAACATGCAATATACCCATTTCCAAGTGCAAACAATTTCACGAATACAATTTTGAAATCCCACATATGACACCATCGTATAATAAATCAGCTGATATTCTGGGTAATTCTGATACATGTAATTTTATTGTCACCGTTATCAATTTTTCAATTTTTTTAAGTTGATTTTTGCAAATTATACCATTTATTGATCAATCCATCAATTAGTCTGTGCCTGGTAATTATTAAAACCATAAAGATAACAAAGGAAGTTAAGTCCAAGTACTAACTTTTTATGTCTAAAACCATGGGCAAACTAGACTATGAATTATCAACATTTTCACTACTTCAGTTCAGACTTTTTTATAAAACATATTTGGAAAACTTGTACATGCTGACTCTGATCCAATACAAGCTCAGTTAAGTACAAAAAGAATTCAAGCTACATTTTTTTGGAGTCACCATCCATTTTTTCCACCTCTGAACTTTAATAATTTGATAAATGCCATCAATACATCAATCGTGTCTTTTATATCTAAATAGCTATTAAACTACTCTATTTATTCCTACAAATATTTGTTATTCTGTTTCTAACTGAAATTACTCATTCAATGAATAAACCTAATGGGGATGGGTAGAAGGCAATCCAACTACTTCCTGGTCTCCACTGCATTAAGAATAGCCCAATTCTACCTCAAAATTCCAGCTTTTTGAAAAACAGGGTTATCTGCCCTTATCAATAGGTATTGATTGCTATGTCAATAGTTTGCATGAGAAAATTACGTCATTTTCTCAAAAACTTTTACGATCTTACTCCCTCAAACAAATGACACAACAATCAATACCTGTTCACAAATTATGTCTTCATTTTAATGACAAAATATCTGACCTGGAAAAAATTGACTCGAATTTATGATGAAAAGCGATATATATATATAAAGGAAGAAACTGCAGGCAATTCCCACAAAAGCAGATCACAGGAATGTTGCCATCATGTGACAATAAGCATGCATACACCATATTCATTATTTGAATTATTTTTAACTGATGAAATCATTTATTTCTATTGATGTTTTTCCTTTAAAATTCCGTATAAAAAGTAAACTGCCATTGTTTCTGATATATACTTCAAAATTCAGTAAAACTAAATCACCTTTCAATGAATAACTTATAAAAATAATTTCTTCCCTTTTTTAAGGAAAAAATGTGTGAGTATAGGTAACTATTAAAATGTAATGAACTAAGTTTTTAATCAAATATACAACACACATTTTATTATATACATATATATATACATGTATATAGATATAATGGACACAAGACAGATATACTAACCTCCTTCACCTGAAATATATAAAAACATACAACACAAAGTTAAACAAAATATCTAAATAATTATAATTAAGCAATTAAAAAATAAAATACTTAAAAAAATAGCCACCCATGCTAAATTTAAGCACCAATACTACACTAAATATGACAACAAAATGTTAATGAAAAGCTCAAAAAAAATGTAATTGTTTTAAAAAGCAAATCCATCATACAATAGAATTGTTGAAGAAAAACTCAATTAAGCAAATCAGTATGAAAACGTTTGCAGTACAATATATACAATGTGCACGGAGTTTACAGAATGGTATTAGATCTTACTGCCAGTCTTTAAACTATGATGCCATTCATATACAGCCAGGTAAATTAGTATCCAAACTCGCAATATTTACTGGTAAACATAACCTTATAAACACAGTCTCTGTATATGCATGTTCAGCTTAATATATATATGTATACGTGTATTTCTAAAAAATGTCTATCATGATTATGTAAAATTTGTGTTATGATTATTACAAATGATTGACGAGTATCAATGGAGAATTCTGTTATTATCTCTGGGATGGCATTATTGTTATACAGAGGGAAGAAGGAAGTCTACAAAGACAGGGACAGGAACGTCTAGCAGAAATTATCTAAAACTACAACTCGATGTCAAAATTTCAAGTGTATTTGAAGAAAGCCTAATATCTGGCTAAAAGTTTTACATGAGCAAAATCACTTCTAGAATTGTACTCTTCACCGATTATCATCTCCAACATTAATAACCAATGTGTTGTACTTTAAATCATGGAAAAATGATGGGAATTTTTCTACTAGTTTTGGTGGATGAATTTTCGAGGGTGTACCAACATATCTAACAACAGAATCACAGACAATTTGAACTTTTTGGATTAAATGGATAAATAGAAGGATTGTAGAAATTCAATTTAAGATAAAATTATTATCAATGATATCTGAGTATTGTTTAATATCTTAATTAATTCATTTTATGAAAGTTATCGATGAAGTATAAAGATTAAACTGAATATATAGCCCATGAGCCAGGATTTGTACATCAATTATAATTGATATATTCAAGTTCTAGTTATTCTAATTGTTTGCTTCATCAAATAAGACATGTACATTATAATTATGCACAAATCTTGTTTAATGACCCTGACAAAAACTTCATTTATTTCATCTAGATTTTTCTCATTGATTATACAAAAAGCATTTAGAGGTGCAAGGGAAAATATTTACTACAAAGCTTGTAACCTATATCAAACATGCAAACATACAGATGTAAAATAAAAACAACATATAGTGTTATTTAAAACATAACAGCAAAACATTTTAATAGGAAAAAATGTGAGTAGGTAAGCGTTTAGTGAGAAAATCTACGGGAAAACGTCACCACTTGTGGGCTGGGTTACATCACAGGAAGGCTGGAAAACATACTTTAGCCACGGTGTTCTCCCTGTTAATTGTCTCGCTCCCGGCCTCAGTATGCTCTTTACTGAAGACTCGCTCCAGCTGTAAAATGTCATGTGGATTAGTGGGGGGCATCAACGAGTTGATCCTTAACACCCAATTTATCATTTATCATAGGTCATAATATCACGTGGATTAGCGGAGGGCATCAACGAGTTGATCCTTAACATGCAATTTATCATTTATCATAGGTCATAATATCACGTGGATTAGCGGGGGGCATCAACGAGTTGATCCTTAACATGCAATTTATCATTTATCATAGGTCATAATATCACGTAGATTAGTGAGGGAGGGGGGGACATCAATGAGTTGATCCTTAACACGCAAACATTGTTTATCTTAGGTCATAATGTCACGTGGATTAGTAGGGGACATCAATGAGTTGATCCTTAACACGCAATTCATTGTTTATCTTAGGTCATAATATCACATGGATTAGTGGGGGACATCAATGAGTTGATCCTTAACACGCAATTCATTGTTTATCTAAGGTCATAATGTCACGTGGATTAGTGTGTGTGTGTGTGTGTGGAGGGGGGGACATCAATGAGTTGATCTTTAACACGCAAACATTGTTTATCTTAGGTCATAATGTCACGTGGATTAGTGGGGGACATCAATGAGTTGATCCTTAACACGCAATTCATTGTTTATCTTAGGTCATAATGTCACGTGGATAAGTGGGAGTGGGAGGGGGGGGGGGGTGAGAGGGTTGGGGGCGGGGGGGTGGTGAGGCATCAACAATATGATCCTTAACACACAATTCATTATTTATCCTAGCTAGGTCATAATGTCACATGAATAAGTGGGGGTGGGGTGGGGGAGGGGTGTTGTGGGGGGGGGGAGGAATCAACAATATGATCCTTAACACACAATTCATTGTTTCTTAGGTCATGATGCAGCCTTATGTATGGTTAACAGTCCTTGAAAATTAATGGAAAATTGTCCTGACCATTATAGAAATTTTAATGAAATCATTTTAATGGTCTGAAGGAAGTCTATTATTTCAACAAAAATCACAGTAATTTTAACGGTAAGTTGAAAATGTTTAGGTTTATTTAAAAGGCTGATTGGGGGAAAATCAATTAAGATCACTTTTCATTCAATTTAGTAAGAATGAAACAGATGAACCTTTGAAGCTATTCATATAATCATTTTTCTTTCTGAATGCTTAATTTGATAGTAGTATTTGTTGAAAAGGGTATTTTTGACATATTTTCACTGTTAGATATGGTTTTAAGCAGTATCAATGTGTAATTCTGGTAAATGAAATTATGAAATAAGATTAAGAAATTGCATGATGTCAAATGTCATTTGACCCCTGTGACCTTGAAAATGGATCATGGTCATTCATTTTAATAAACTTGGTAGTTCTTTATCCCAGCGTGCTACATGCATCAGTACTCTTGGCTTTTTGGTTATTAAGAAGAAGTCAAAAATGTCAATTATTTAGGACTGACGACAGACGAGCATGCCACCGGACAAAAGGTGATCGCAATACGACACTTGAGACTTCGTCTCGTGACCTAAACACCTTTAATGTATAAAAAGGTGTTTTCCTCTTTTTGCTATAATCTACAGTGCATCAAAATTGATATTTTAATGTGAAACAACATATGAATATTCATTTATTTTAACTACTTAGTAAATTTATTAATTTCTCTACAAGCAAAATGAATGTGAAGAAAAGGCAAAATTGAATCATTTAGATTTCATCAATTATTTAAACTAGACCTCAACAATATTTTTGTGTTGTGAAAGTATAGAAATTGGTTGTCAAAGAGGATCTTTCCAGCACTAAGGACTAATCTACATGAGCCATTGTGTAAAGCATATATCTATATGTAGAGGCTAACTTCATGTTTAAGTTTAACAAATTGCAGAAAAGTTCCTTTGCAGGAAAGATTTATTTTTTTCGTAGATAAAGATTAAATAAAAAACAAAAGGCCCTTGGGCATGGGCATTATCTGCAATCTTGAAATTATATTCTTTATACATGCACAACACAATTGCTATTACTATATAGGATATTGTGTCTATAGTAAACCCTCCCCCACGTCAAAGACAAATATAGTCAATCTGAAAGAGAAGACAAGCACTAAGTTCCTGTTGACAAAAACATAGATATACACAACATATCCGGACAAAACAATTAAGCTTATCCTGAATATAGCACTCTGATGATAAACCAATGAGTTTAATCATATTTTAAATGTGATGAGTGAAAATGTTGTAAAATGATATGTGATAAATCTGGAGCTGAAAATTAAAATCATTAGTGATCAGGTTATTTTCCATCAAATTACAATTCAAACAAAACAGAAAATATAAGCAAGCATGCAGACTGGCATAGAGGAAAAAAGGGCACACACTGTGAAATACGCATACAAACAACATGCACTCCAAAACCTCCTATCTAGTCTCTACATCATCTCACAGCTGATAAAGATTAGTGCCATTCTTGTAGTTATAATTCAATCAACAGTTGTTTATCTGTTTTTTGTTTGTTTGGTATTTCTTTGTATTTCATTATATTTTTTGGCGTGTACTAAATAAAGAGATGAAATGAAACAGTTCTCTCTTTCTTCTCCGTGCTCCTTGTGGTCATTAATGGTCACCTATTGCTACTGTGCTATTAAATCATGGGGTATAATATCTAAAGCAGAAATAAGATTTTTAGTTGAAAAGTATATTTGTTGCTAGGAAGATCATGAATGAAACATATTCTGTATTTTAATATATTTTCTGTAAATAAAGTCTTTTGAAACAATAATAAGTGTAAGTGTACCTTTAAACTTAATTTATCAGATTCTGACAAGGAAATGTATCGGATGCCATATTTGGCAATGATACCGTTGATAATGCAGCAGATATCTCCTTACATTTTGACAATGACTCTTGATAACATTTATATAATAAAAGAGTTATTTTGATATTGTATGAAGAAAAAATCTTCATGTCAATTTGTAATTCAATATTTAGTTAAGCAATTTGCATAAATGATATCAATCTGTTTTAATTAACAAAACTTAAGGTCATTTTGACTTCAAAAAATGCATTCAGAAGTCTTCATTTAAACAGTTTTACAAAGATAAATATGAAAAGATGATTTTCTCATTTCTGTCTTCATCTCAGATGTACTTTTGAAAATTTCAGAAACCACTTATTTTTTTCTTTCACTTTTTTTCTTATTCCGTGAGCTACTTGAAATATTGTAAATGTATTACCAAATTTAAAGTACTAGCTGTGTTAATGGTTAGTTAGCAGGGTGATGAACCATCAGGCATCTCTACTAATTGATAGGAAACTGACAAATTAATACTGTCTTCTAAAATTCATCAGTGCTGCATATTTCTCAATTGTTTTGAGCTTACAGAATTACAAAATAAATAAAAAACAAAACATAAATGATCAAGTAAAGAAATATTTGCAAAAATTTCAATTCAATTCTACAGAAACAAATATCAGTAATAATAACATTTATATTTATAATATTTGTCTAAATTTGGTCCCATTTGGAAGAAAGAGAAATAATATCAAGGGAGATAACTGATGAATTAAGAGACATATAACTATTCAGAATTCCATTTCTAGCAAGTTCACACATGCACTCTGGAGAAAAAACTTCCGCCTTAACAACCTGCTACAACAAACGCTCTTTCATCTCTTGTGGCGCCATCTGCTGTGACAGATATGGATGAGAAGGAGTCAGTTTTTTATCTGCCATGCGACAGATTTGCAGACAAGAATTAATGCAGTGTTCCGAATATATATGAAACATACATCAAGTAATGCCTGCAGTTTTTGCTGCGGCCTTGGGACAAACTTTCGTTCCGCGGGGGGAAGGGTGAAGAAGCTTTCCAACTGAAATAGATAATAAATACAGTCAACAACTATCAAACTGAAAATGTTTACAAAAAGAAAACTACAAACTGATAGAGAAGCAAAAATTAAAAACAAAGAAATAAAAAAAAACTGTGCAATGTCATAACCAAGGGAAAAAGGACAAAAAAATAAAAAACAATAGCCCCATGTGTTTTAACAGTCATCTGCCTATAAAGACCTATATATGAAAGAGGCAAAATAGGTCTAAAATAAATTGCTCAACAACTCTACAGTTTACACTGAAGACATTGTTGGTTCATCAAGACATTTTCTGCAAATTTGAAATCATATTCTTCATACATGCACTCAAATGTCATTACTCTGGACACCACCCACTCTCAATAATGTTTCACACCAAATTTGGTTGAAATCCATTAAAGGATTAAGAAAGCTCTTAAGTCCCTAGGTATTGAATCAACTTTCTGAATTTAAAAAATGATTCCCTGTTCTAAATGACGTTTCAGACTAAATTTGGTAGAAATTTGTTTAAGCATTAAGAAGGAGTAGCATTTTGAAGCAAAATATTGTCTTATTTTCCCTTTTGGGACCAGCCCCCAAGTCCCTAGGTGTCAAATCAAATTTCTGAATTTAAGAAACAACTGCCTACCCTAACTGATGAATCAGGCCAAAGTTGTTGAAATCCACCCATGCTGAAAGGAGGAAAAGGGTTTTAAATCTAATTTCAGTACCTTCACAATTCTGAATCTAACAAACAATTACCCTCACCCAATGATGCATCAGACCAAATTTGGTTGAAATCCATCCAGGTATGAAAGAGGTGAAGGGTTTTAAAAAAAAGTTTATGCACGACGCACAACCGATAGCACACAAAGACGGACAAAGCATGTTGGCTTGAGGTCATCTTGACTTATGCCTGACTTAAAAGGAAAAAAATGAAAAAAATTTGATAGATGAAAGAATTATAATCACTGTTTAAAAAAAAAAAGAAAAGAAATATTGATATATTAACATAACAATTTTGGAGAGAGATGATCCTTTTAGTTCAGTGAAAGAAAAGGGAAAAAAACCCCAAAACCATTGAAATTGAACCCAGATTATGAAGTCAGTGAGTTTTTGGTTTTTAAAGTTTCTATAGGTTAAAAGAAAGACTGACCGTAGTAAAGAAATGACCAGTTCATTAAGAAAAAAACTTGCATGTGACAGATATTTACAGTTACACACAAGAAAGGGAATTTAATAGTCACTGAAGATCTGTACTGGGAAGGAAAAGTTATATATATATATATATATATATATAATTAGTTCTATAATAAGTCAGGTTAACAAGATGTACAATTACTGACTAAATAAATATTAATAATATATTATGTATTAAATATGAATATAAAAAGTATACTTTATGATATCTAAGGATCAAGAATACTTCATACTTTCTGTATTTCACTTTTCACTCCTAACATTCTTTATATTCCGATTTAAGAAGAGATTGAGGTTAAAATCACAGAGCAAAGGTCTTCAAAAAATTAAGTGAAAAAAAGAAGAAGACCTATCTTTTAATGACTGATAACAAGAATAAAGAAAAACTTTTAAAGCACATCAGAGGTGAAACTAGTCAGTCAATAAATATCCCACTCACAGGTGATGCTTGGCAAGTGTTGTGACGGAAAATTACTTTTTTTTCAAATATCATATACTTATTTTTCAACCAGTATTTTTTATCCTTCATTTGGAGATGATCAAAACTAATGAACAAAAACAAATTTGACCCCTGTGACTTTGAAAATAGGTCAAGGGGGAGCTAGAAATTAATTTTCTTTTACTTGATTTCTACAATTTGCGATTTAAAGAGAACACAAACATGATTACTAGCATAAAAACCCTTTATATAAATATAATTTAAGCTGACACATTCCTCTTCTCACCCTCCCTCCACTCAAAAAGACAAAGTGGTGTTATATATATTCAAAAATGTTTTTTTTTTTAAAACAAATTTTTTCACAATTATAAAAAAGAAAAGACAGACAAAAAAAAGTAGATTTGAAAGAAAATGAATACGGTATATTTAACTGGTAGTTTTTGATAAGAATAAAAAACAATAATATTGCATTAATTTCTGACCAAATTGCCTGAACCATTTGAAATTATGAAGGTTCACAATACAAGATTAGGAAGTGAGGCGAAACTATGGATATATAGTGACTTCTTCGTATGAAATGACCTATATATAATATACACATGACGGAAAAGATGTAAAAAAACAAAAGTAGTTTCAGAGGAGTGTGATAAATAATTCAACCTAAAATTGCTTCTTAAATAAAATTGTGAGGATAATAACATGCAAATTACATCAATGATGACATCTAGATCCACTGTAAGCCAACCAGCTGATTATTTGGGAGTAGCCTCCCTTTGACTACATCTGCCAATTCACAAAACATGCTTAAAATGCCAAACTGGCAAAAATGTTGCAATGAGGAAGTCAAAATAAACAAGAGATCCCTGAAGGATCTTGGTGTCCACCATTGTTTGATCTTTATGTGCTCTTTGAAAGTTCAATCTTTTCCCTTCTTTTCTCTTCTCTTCTCTGTTTTTACTCTTAATGATAAGTACTTTGAACATTCCTTTGCAGAAATAGTGATGATAATCTTTACCTGCCAAATCCAAGATAGTCACCTGAAGGTGATTTTATTTTCTGATCAGTCCCGAAATCAAATGGGCAAAAGTAGAGGCCAAAGGGAACATACATATGAAATTTGAGAGAGATCCATTTGGTACTTCTTAAGAAATAGGGGTAACAATCTCTACTAGGCAAAATCCAAGATGGCTGCCTGTCAGTCATTTTGTATTCGTGATCAGTCTCAAACTCAAACAGGCACAAATAGGGACAAACAGAAACCTATACATAGAATTTAAGAAATATCTATGCCGTATTTCTCAAGAAGCAGATTACAATCTTTCAAAATCAAAATCAAAGATGGCCACCTGTTGGCAATTTTAAATTTTCTTATCAGTCCTAAAATCAAACATGCACAACTAGGGACCAAGGGGAAACTAAATGTGAAATTTAAGAAAGATATATACAGTATTTCCCAAAAAAATAGCGATAACAAGCTTTCAAGTAAAAATCCAAGATGGACGCATGTCGGCCATTTTATTTATCTGATCAGTAACAAAATCAAACAGGCACAACAAGGGATCAAGGGAAACCTACACATGAAATTTGAGAAAAATCTATGCTACAGTTCTCAAAAATAATACTAGTTAACAAAAAAATGAAAATTTCTTCAGTCTTTTTCCCCATCTTCTATCAGCATAAGATAAAAATAAAGATGATCAATCCATGTATTTGTATACCAATAATGAAGATGACTTCTTGAATGTTTTGTGATTATCACAGCACACAAAATTCAGGATAAGACAAAATGAATGCTAAGTTCACACTTCAACAATGGCCTTGAAAACCTTAACATTTCAGGTAAAAAATGAATCTTAATCAATGGAAATTTTTTTCCTCCCACTTGTGCAATATAAAGTTAAACTGGATTATTCAACAATGCTGATGATGATGATGATGATGATGATGATGATGATGATGATGATGATGATGATGATGATGATGATGATGATGAAGAACAAACATGAATTTTTTTATAATTGTCTTGTGTCAAAAATAACACGTATTTGCTAATAGAGACTGATATTTTATCCATTAACTTTCTCAGTAAATCATGACTCCTATTCACAATAACTGTAGAAAGCCCTAATGAAGGGAGAAAACTATCTGGGATTGTAAATTTGGACTATCCAATCACAAAACAATTATGCCTGGTGCAATCACACAAACAAACACTTTTTTTAATCTATTTTATATTTGCTTTATCTTTGTTTTCCATCATTTTATTCCATCAATAAAAAGAATGTCAAAGTAAAGCCCCTCAAATATAAAAACCTGTAATAAATCTAGAACACCCAGCTTTGTACTGCAATAGTGGTTACAATACCTTCAGTGGAACAGTGGTAACAGTTCCTAGGTAGTGACAGAAACAAAGTACAGACACTGGAACAGTGGTAACAGTTCCTAGGTAGTGACAGAAGTACAGACACTGGAACAGTGGTTACAGTTCCAAGGCAGTGACATAAGAGAACCTAGATTTTGAGATATTGAACTGACAGCATTCTGAAAAGTCTTTAATCTAACACACCTTTATATCACTGTGTCCTTCTACACCTACCTTATATTTACCTGTATATCACTATATCCCCCCACCCCCTATTCCGGTGGTGACACTTTCTCAGTATAAATTGGTTAATCTAGGAGTGCATGTCTCCTGACAGGTATTATACAACCCACGTACCTGCTCTCTGACCCTTGAGTGCTTACCTGTACGAGGTACACCCAGTATGTATATATATCATTAACTCAGGTAAAAAATATATGCTTTAGTAATCATTACACAACATTTGCATCCAACTTCATTCATGTGCAGTGATCTTACCCAGGTTGCTTCTTGGGTCACTTTACAACTGAATGATATATAGATATTTACCTGTGTAGAAACCATTCTCTTGATATCGCAGCTAGGTATAAAGAAACTACCAAAAACCAGTATTCATATAAAGTCTGCATTTTCAACATTGCCTCAGTCTAATTAAATAGTACAGGCGAGCTCAAAGACACTGAAGACAAATAGGTGCATTTTACACAATCTTTTTAATCAATCATATGCCTACCATATTTTCAGGGTTATAAGACCCATCAGTATATCAACTGCAGAGCCAATTTCTAATGATTTTTTCGATTTGATCCTGATATTAGCCACATCAGAATGTAAGCTGCACCCTTTCTTACGAGGTGGTGACTGTTATGTTGACCAAAGACAATGGATGACAATTTATCAAGATCATCAGTGAAACATTTAAATGAATTATAATCCAGATCATCCTTATTTTATTGATAATTTTCAAAAATGCAAAAACAGCAATTATCGAGCATGTTTGGCTTGGGAACCTTCCAAGAT